CATAGATAAGAAAAATACTCAGCATCAAGATGCAGAAATGATAGTGAAAATGATAGGCTTAAGGGTCATTGCAGTTGTCACAAGGCCCAGGAATGCCTGTCAGTCACTTCCGGAGGGCAGGGGCCGGCTTTGTAGCTTTGTACCCTATACCACCCACACCCAGCACCATGTGTGTCTTCTTGTCGGTGTTCAATGTACCTGAACTACAACTTGACCTGAAGGAATGACTTGATCAGAACACTGAGGCAAGTGACAAATCTTCCCAAAGGAAACCAAAGGACTCATGGAACCAATACCCTGGTGACAGCAGAGGACCTGGCACCTGTCATTCACTGCATGACCTTGAGCCCTTCGTTTCTCAGGCCTCAATTTCTGTAGTTTTATGAAGCGACTGTCAGTTTTTGTGGGTTTGTTTGTTTGTTTGTTTGTTTTGGTACTGGGAATTGAACTCATGACCTCAGGCTTGCCAGGCAAGTACTTATGCCACTGAGCTATATCTCCGGCAAGAAGCCACTGTCTATCTTGTATTGTCACAAGATTATTGTGAAAATTCACCATTCAGTCAATTAGTCAACAAATACTACGTACTTCTCATGGTCCATGTTTTGATCAAATTCAAAATTAAAAAATTTGGGGCTGGGGATTTAGCTCAGCGGCACAGAGCCTGCCTGGCAAGCGCAAGGTCATGAGTTCAATTCCCGGTACTAGAAAAAAACAAACAAAAAAAAAATTTAAAAATTTAATTTTTTAATTAATTCGATAAGCATTGCTTGTGTTTTCATGTGACATTATTTGTGTCAAATTGTGTATTGTTTTATTTTATTTGTTCTACATTAAAGCACCTTGTCTAAGTGATTTTTTTTTTTTAATTTTTTAAAATTTTTTTTGTTTTTTTTAGTTTTTTTCCAGTACCGGGAATCAAACTCATGACCTTGTGCTTGCCAGGCAGGCGCTGTGCCACTGAGCTAAATCCCCAGCCCCAAGTCTTTCATTTTTAAAGCAAAGAACTAAAAAGGAAAAAATACTCAGCAACCTGCAAGAAGTTGGAACAGGACTTTTTCCTTTCCAGTGCTCTATATACCAGGTTTTCTCCCGTTCCCTACAAGAGACACCTCCAGGGCAGGAGCGTCTGGGAAACCATGCACCGGAAACCTCACACCGCTCTGCTCTCTGAAGAACCTGGCAGCTGTTCTGATTCCTCCCAGCCACCTCTAGCTGCAAGGAGAAGTTAATGAAGTGTGTGGGACAGTGATGGGAAAAGGTCAGGCTCTACATCACCCCTGGCAGCACCACCAAGCGAGGCCTAGCTATAGGACAAGAGATGTGGACCAGAAAGCAGTCTCCACTTCATTAGCCAGTGGTTCTGATTGTGTGGAAGCAGGCCAAGGTCCAGCCTATAGACTGTGACAGAACATTCCTGCGACACCCAGGGGTCCGAGCAAAGGCCAACTCCAAAGCAGAAGCACTGCCTCTGTCCAGGGGCACAGGGAAAGGGCATTTGCCTGTCCTCTTCGCCCCTGTCTTTCTCTCCCTTCCTTTCTACCTTGCTTCCTTTCTTTCATTTATTTCATTTTCCTTCCTTCTCTCCTTCCCTTTGTATCTTTCTTCCTTTAAAAAAAGTTATTATGCAGGAGACCTCGGTTCAATCCCCGGTATCACACCAAAATAAATGGTTGTATTTTTTAATCTAATTTTTATTATTTTCTTCTTCTTCCATTTTTCCTTTCCCTCATCCTATAGGGTGGTACTTTAGATCACAAACACTTGTTTGGAAACAATTTGGTTCACAAACAGAAGCATTTGGCAAAATTTTGGTTTGGTTTGCAAACTCTGCATGGAGTGATGAATACGACCGAGGCCTTTCCTGCACAAACAAGACCACGGCCTTCTTCTCCAAAACTGTGAAACAAATTAAGCTCGTGAACTGAGGCACCACTGTTCCTCTAATCATTTCCCCTCACCTTTTTCCAAATCTTAGAAAATTCCCAAGAGATAGCTATCTAGAGGCTTCTAACCATATTTCTGTTTATCTGAAGGAAAATAAAGTTGTATACGTCCTTCCTTGAGAACTGGGGTCGTGAATGGAGGTGCGCAACATGATACAGGGGAGGGACAGGAGAAGGATCTTGGTGCTTTGTTACCTATTTATGGTAACTCCGTATTTTTCTTTTTGTGTTAATTTTGTAACATACATAAAATGGTAGTGCATGGTACATGTCATAAATTAATTGATGCAAACAATGGGAATAAAATGCTTATATATATTTTTTTTTCTTTTTAAACTGCGCTGCACCTGCCTGACCATTACCTACCTACTGCATGTGGAAGGACAAAGGTTTCCTGGAGGTGGGCTGGGGATATAGCTCAATGGCATAAGCGCCTGCTTGGCAAGCGCAAGGTCGTGAGTTCGATCCCTGATACCACAAAACAAAAAACAACAGCAAAAAAAAGGTTTCCTGGAGGGTCTCCAGCAAAGAACCCGCTGGGACACGTTCTCTCTGGGTGTGCCACCTTGGGCAATCACCACTGTCATTGTGTGGGATTACTGGGAGCTTACTGACAGCTGGTCTTCTAATGGCTTGACATCTATTAGATCATGTACTCATTACAACTGTCCCACTAAATAGATGCTCTATCTCCACTTTGAAAAATGGGTACATTGAGGTATGGGAAGTTTTAATCAAAACTTTAAATTAGCCATACGCAGTTATTGAATCCAAAGTTCGAATCCTGGCATTTGGGCTCCAGAAAATAGGACAAATTAGAGAACATTTAATTTTAATTTTGTAAAATTGAGATGATGAGATTGTAAGGTGATTGTAAGGATCAAATAAGATAATGGTATAAATCTCAGCACAGTGGTGTAAGCATCCAATAAGTAGCCACTACTAGTTATTGATGTCATAAGGATTCTCTAAAAAAATAAATTTTAAAATGGCACACACCCCCTTGAAAACTTTCAGTGATTCCTCTCTCCCGAAGGAGAAACATTCAGAACCTCAGGCCAGGCATTGAATATCTGCTCTTCAACAGCCCTGTCGTTATTTTCTGGTCTCCGCTGTTTATTGTGGACAGTAATGTCTGCCACGCCCTCTTTAATTTTGTTTTGAGACAGGGTCTCGTTATGTAGTCCAGACTGGCCTCAAATTTGTGATCCTTCTTCAAGGGACTATTTTCAGGACTGAAGGAAAAGAAGAAGCTCTCTGTACATCATAAATCTCTGTACAGATATGTTTCTTTTTTATTTTAAAAAGAATAGTTTAAAAAAAAAGAACAATAGCACTTTACATGTCAGATGCCTCCTCTGACAGGAGAGACCTAGAGATCTCTCTCTATCTCTCTGGGTCTCTCTGTCTCTCTCTGTTTCCATCTGTCTCTCTCTGTCTCTGTCTCTCTCTCTGTGTCTTTGTCTCTATCTGTCTGTCTGTCTGTCTCTCTGTCTCTCCTTCTCTCTGGCTGCCCAGGGTGCTTTGGTGTGAAAGCACAAAAGCTAGACACTTAACATGGATTAGGGGGTTCACTGTCTAAGTCCAAGGCTTCAATCCTTAACCATTTATAGGATCTTAAGTCAACCCTTATCTTCTTCGGAAAAAAAATTTGTTAATATACTGAGGACTGAATTCAAGACCTTGTGCATACTAGGCCACCACTCTACCACTGACCTACATCCTTAAGCCTTTTCTATTTTATTTTGAGACAGGATCTCATTAAGTATCCCAGGCTGGCCTCAAACTTGTGATCCTCCTGCCTCAGCCTCCCGAGTAACTGGAATTACAGATGTGCACCACAATGCTAGGCTTCCTTAACATCTTGAAACTTCCATTTCCTCACCATTAAAGTGGGGATGATAGTGCCTGTCTCATGGGTTTGTCAGGAGAAAAAGAAAGGAGAATGCAATTATTGTGTATGTCAGTAATACTTATTTTAATATTGATCTGAAAACAAATTCCAAGAAATTTTAGGAAAGATTTTCTTCTAAGGTCTACAACCTAACCCATATCATTTATTTAGTAAACATTCATAGAATACATCCTATGCACTGGGCTCACCATTTATTCAATAAACATTCTTGGAGTACCTACTGTGTGCTGGTCCCACCACCCACTTATCATTGATGTTGCAAAGGAAGAAAAAGGAGTAGGCATTGTTCTGGAGTGAAGGCCTCTATGCTAGGTGTAGTATTTATTAGTTTAATATCATACTAGGCTCATTCACTGGTTTTTAATTTAATCTTTTACAAGCTGCTGGGAACACCCTATTTTAAATATGACCCAGCAGAAGGATGTGGGTTGTTGAATCAAAAGAAAGAAATCTTCTTTAGCTTTTGGAGTTCCCCTGGGAAAGGTCATCTAATAGCAGTGTGGTGGGGAAATAAAGGCTCAGAGGTGGAAGGGATTTCTAGAAAGGAAGCCAGTGGCTGAAATAATGGGGATTTGGTATCTTCCTGTATCTGTTTTTTATTCCTTCACAGGGCTCTTCAAAGGGCTTCAGACATAATGAACATCTGGGAGTTTTGGTAGTAAACTGTACCCCCACAAGCTATGCATTTAGAAGGATAGAGGCAGGAGGGAGGAGACCCCTGAGCCTTGTGCTATGATTATTAGCAAGAATTTAATTTGTACCCTGCTTATGTGAACCCCATGAAACGTGTTTTTCTGTGGTAATTCATTTAACTCGCTCAGCAACCCAATGAGGCATAAAATCCCTTGTTATCAATATTTACATGTGTTCATACTATAAGACTAAAAATAATGAAGTAATTGTCCAAAGTCACACTCCATGTTCCTAGAAAGTTACAAGTCTACTTGACTCCAAAGCCGGGATTTCCCTAGTACACTGTATTGTATCTCTTGGGAAAGTTATTTCGTCTCCCAAGATAAAGAATCTACTTATCCCAGAGGACAAGATGACTTTTAAGTTCTCTTTTGCATCTGCAAGTTTTGATTGGCATTAGTTGCTTCAGCCAGGGGCTGACAAACTGGAGCAAATCCAGCCAGCCGAACGTTTTTATCAGTAAAGTTTTATTGGAACACAGCCACACATATTTAGGTATTGTCCATAATAGCAAAGTGAATAGTTGCAACAGAGACTTTCTGGACTACAAAGCCTAAAATATTTACTATCTAGCTCTTTCACAGAAAAAGTTTGCTGGCTCCTGGGATATACTAGGAGTCTAGAGGTTTCAATGGCAATTAACTACACGTGGTGAATAGAAAAGATTCTGGAGGGCCACATATCAAGTGTAAACAGTGGAAGGGGTAAGACGGTGACTTCTGCTGTTTACATTTTATACTTTAGAAATATTTTTAAAAATTTTTTTACTAAGTTATACCTTATATATAACAATATGCACACATTCTACATGTAAAGACACTTGATGTATCTTCCACCCTGATTAAAGCATGAAACCTTTCTACCATTCCAGAAACTGCTACCACTGTAGATTTCTCTTTCTACTTTTTAAGTGCCTATACATGTAATCACACAGTATATATCCTTTCGTATCTGGAAAAAAATTATTTTTGTATTAGAATTTTACTGCTGATAATTGAGAAAATCTGACAAGTATAAATAAGCAAACAGAAAAATCATCTCTAACAGTATAATCCAGAGATATATTCTCTTCTTCGGTATTTTGTTAAGCATCTACTTTATATCAGCACCTCTCCAGGCATTGAAGAGCGAGACATGAGAAAGTCCTTAACCCTTGTGGACCTTTACAGCCTGAGGTGTGTATTTTTCATGGGCTAGTCAAACATCTCATGTACACTACTATTCAGAGATCTGGCCTGAGCTCTTACACTATATCTGGCCAAAAAGCTTGAAGTGGAGACTCCAGTAATTTAAGACCTTTTAGTAATTTCAGATCAGGAAAATTGGAGTTCTTACATAGTTATCCAAACCAACTGGTCATTTTTCAAAAGCAGAATCAGAGGCCCAGAGGAGGTACTCACTAAAGCCTTTGGGGGTGAAGAATCACCCAGAAAGGAGTGTTATAGCCAGAATTAGAACCTCAAGCTTCTGACCCTGGAGTCTAGAATGTTTTGTGGGTTTCAACAGCTCAGAACAGGATAGAATGGTATTTATGTTTTATTCCAGGGACGATTGCACTTGGAGCCCTACTAGTCACCGCCAACTCAGTGGGAAGCCTTCGAGAGCAGAAGAGCAGAGATCAGAAAGACCAGGGTCTCCTGTAAACAAAGAAAGGTAAACGTGGAAAGTGGTGGTAGTAGGAAGGGAAACTATCACAAACTGAAGAAAATTACAGGCGAAGTGAGTTCACAGGAGCTGCATCCACCATTTGGTAAAATTACCAACACGATGCTCAGAAAACCTTCATAAATGATATGCCAAGTAGATTTCAAATTATTTCATACCAGGGACGGCATCTCCCTTAGAAAATCTTGGAATCTAACTGCAAATTTGTTGGAAGAAGAGCCTAATAGTGTCTCTTCGAATTCAGTAACTCTTAAAAACAATCTGGGAATATAAAAGCCCAAAGAGATCAGTTGCCTCGCTTCTCAGCATGACTTCATGGTGTGTCTCTATTTTTCTAAATATATGAGAGCCTGCCATACTCCTGGGACCTGTGATTGTTAATGCATTTCATTTTCACGAAAACACAGTATAACGTCATTATTCTTTTGCACGTTTAGGTCTGTTTGACTACAGAGCCTGCCCCCCTTCTCAGCTGTGTATTCTCCCCCTGCCCCAAAGAATCTCCCTTTCAACTCTCATCTCCCAAAACAATGAAAGCTAGGGACCCTCTTCTTTCATCCTAAAGCCTTGCTCCAAACAGCACTCAAATTAACTTCCTCCAGTGGTTACAAGCAACATCTCTGTAGACTTTCCAGTGTCTTGTCTTTTCTTTTCTTTTTTTTTTTTTTCAGTATTGCTATCAAATCTGGGGCCTCATGTGCATGGTAGGCAAATATTTTAACACTGAACTACATTTGTAGCAGCTTTTATTTTATTTTGAGACAGAGTTCTTAAGTCGTCCATGCTGATTTTCCTACCTCAGCCTCCTTGAGTGGCTACAATGTCCAGCTTATTTTCCCATCTTTAACATGAGGTTACTGCCTCAGTCTGTCCCAACTTTATCCCATGTGAAGCATAGGCAGAGATTATTGCAGACATGCTGAGTCTTCTTCTATTGGGGGAGAGAAGTTTCTCTGAAGAGTTTCAAGACAGAACTCATTTAGATGCTAAATCTAAGACCTATACTGTAAAGGATATGCTGTTGGTCTCCTTATTCTTTGTTAAATTTTTTAGGGTAGGTGCTGAATCTATTCACAGTACTTGCAACCACGTCATAAGTACCTACAATAGCAGCAAGTGAGAAATACAAGGCAGGTCTGGGGAAGAGGCTTACAGGAATTTCTGGCTATGAATAGCAAGATTACATGGAAGATATAACTGGGCACTCATAGGAATTTTCCCCTGTGTGCAATTTCTGTATTTTTATTTGGGTGGCTGAGGTGTGGGGAAGAATGGGTTTGCTGATACCTGAATGTTGAGGGCGAAAGAGGCTTGGAAGTTCAAGGAGGTGAACAGCAGTTAGAACTACAACTGCTTTTTAACTATTATCTTGTTACAAAGAGAAGTAATGTTTGGCTTTTTAATGGGCCTTCCCAGTTTAACATAGAATCTGATCTACATTGTACTTGGTGCTTCTATAACTATAACAGAGAGAAAGAGACAGAGAGGAGGGAGGAGGCTGTTCTCCAGGGGCATTTACTCTGAACACTTCATTATCCTGCTTGAGAGGAGCTGAGGAGACAGAAAATTCTCCACTGAGTGGAATTACAGTGGGCAAACATCTGCCATATGTCACAACAAACTAGAAAACAAGAAGGCGGGATGAAGGGCCCTCACTTCTATGGATTTATTACCCCTTTTTCAGGGAAGAGGGACTGAGATAAGTGTAAACCTTCCCAGGAATCTATACACACAACTACCTCCTTTCTTTCTGGCTCCCAGGACAGGTGACCCAGACACCTGTTGTCCACCACGCTAAGCTCTCTCTCTATCCCTAGTTTAAACTCAGCTTTCTCCTAATTATCTCTGAAGGTGGGAGAGAAAGGAGGACATATTCAGAAGCTCCTTTGCAATTTTCCTGCTGATTCTCATTTTTTGTCCCTAACGGCCGAGTCCTTCCTATTCCCGAATTCGTTCTCTCTGATTCTGAGAACTCCAAGCTTCCAGAAGTGCTAGGTTTCACTGGCCTCTTGGCTTTTACAAGGGGGCCTCCTGCCTTCCCAGACTGGAAAGTGTGCACACTATTTTCAGAACGAGGGTTTGCACAGGTGGTCTTATTCAGCGTGTACAACTCTGCTGCACTGCACCTACCCTCTCAGCCTTTTCCACAGATGAGGAAACTGGGGCTCAAAGACAAGAGTGTCTTCTGCCCCAGGAGTCTGAGTGGTACACCCTAAGGAGCCCCTTCCCCTGTTCTGCAAGTCAGATCTCAGCCTATAGGCTTGGGTGAGTTGGGTGCCTCCTTCCTCCCCTTTGCCGCCGTCCCAGAGGAGTTGTGGCAGAAACTCCTGCAGTGTTGAAGCGCCCAGGGCTTCCTTCCCAGCCAGGTCTGGCTGGGGAAAACTTCGTTCCTTCAGTGGCTTTCTCAGTGCCTTCTCCACTTGGCGAGTGAGACTCCCCAACACTGCAGCAGTGACCTTGCCTTTGCAGAATGCGCCGCGGGTGTCCTGAAACTACGAACAAACCAGAAGTGAGTGGGCCCGGGACACACAGCTCCAATGTTCACTCAGCCGCAGGCCAAGCTTTACTTTCACTCCTAGAAAGGAGTCCCCACGGTCTTAGCTTTTTTGCAGAAGTGGAGGCCCTTTGATAGGCCGGGTTTAAACAGGAGGTTGCCACCTAGGCGTCCAGCACATCGAGCTGCTAGAGGGACCTCCACTTGGGCGATTTCTTCTGGTCATAAATTAGTCGGTGACTCCTTCACTGTTGCCTACGCTATGCCGGCCCGCAGTTCCGCAAATCCAAACCGCCAGCCCTGGACCGTGAGGGTTCGGGGCCCAGAGAGCAGTAACTGAGGTTAAAATAAACGGAGTCTCCCCAATCCACATTCACCCCACCTGAGACCCCCTTCCTCCTGGCCTCCGCGTTCCTGCCCAAGGGGTCAGTCAGTTTCTCCTGCACCCCGCTGGCTCTCCGGATTTACCACCTGTGCACGCCTGGGAAGCTCTCTACCTGCATCCTCCTCTGTCTTCTTCCAAGAGCACCCCCAGTTTTCTCCAGCTCTCACCTGAACCCCAGAAGCGCAGTTTCGTCTGTGTGGCCAGTGGAAAAGTCCCCGCACCTAGGCTGCAAGCCACTTGCTTTAACAAGTCCAAAGGTCAGCTAAAGTTTAGCTGATAAGCAGAACCCACAAAAGAAGGTCTTCAGCCCCCCAGCGTGAGTACAATGGGCCCCGGCAAGCTCAGCTCCCGGCCCGGGTCTCTCGCTCCCCGCGACTGCTTTCTCTCTCTCTCTCTGGGTTTCCCCCTCCCCACCACCATTTGCATCTTGCCGAAAGCAGGGCCCTTCCCACTAATTTGCATATCTTATATGGCCTAATGGTGGCGATCATGGCAAGTTAGAAGTTTTCTGACTCCTCTCGGAGGAGGCTCCGGGACCCCGGGAGTAACAAGTGTCTGGAGGCTGAAGGGTGGAGGGGTTCCAGGACTTGGGGTTCTCTTGTGAAACTCCCCTCCACCCTCCTCTCTCGCACCCACCCACCCCCTCACCCCCTTCTCTTTCCGTCCTTGGAAAATGGTGTCCAAGCTCACGTCGCTCCAGCAAGAACTCCTGAGCGCCCTACTGAGCTCCGGGGTCACCAAGGAGGTGCTGGTCCAGGCCTTGGAAGACTTGCTGCCATCCCCGAACTTCGGGGTGAAACTGGAGACGCTGCCTCTGTCTCCCGGGAGCGGGACCGATCCCGACACCAAGCCGGTCTTCCATACTCTCACCAACGGCCACGCCAAGGGCCGCTTGTCTGGGGACGAGGGCTCCGAGGACGGCGACGACTATGACACCCCTCCCATCCTCAAGGAGCTGCAGGCGCTCAACACCGAGGAGGCGGTGGAGCAGCGGGCAGAGGTGGACCGGATGCTCAGGTAGGCAGCGAGCGCGGTGCAGAGCTCGCGCTGGAGTCTCCGGAGCCCGGGCCCCGCGCCCGAGCGACACAGCGCCCACTGCTCCCGCAAGCCCGTTTGCTACTCGAGAAGTCCCCCCGGGAGGCGTTCTACTTCTCCCCCAACACCTGGACCCTTCCCAGACCCTCAACCAGGCTCCCTTGGGCCCGAGGCTCCAGGTCAGCGTCGGGACCCTAGGGCCTTCCCCGTGGGGCCGGGGCTCGGCCCGCGAGAACTAGAGGCGCGGAGCCTTTTGCCCGAGGTTTGACCCAGAGACTGAAGGAGTGAGTGGGTGCGGTGAAATCACTGTGATTTCCCAGGAGTAGAAGCACCAGTCCTGCAAGCCTCAGGCCGCACTGCTTGAGGTCAGGAAGCCGTGGCCGGGCTTGGACACAGCGACCCGCCGTGCTTTGCAGAGGGACCCGCCGCGAGCACCTGGGGCCGGGATCTGGTGGGCGCTCGCATCTGCGGCGCCCAGGCTGGACTCGGAATTATCTCGAATTCCCAAAGCGGTCTTTGGATTTGTAAAGGGGAACGTTTGCATGTGCGGTCAGAGTGGACCCGCGCCGGGCAAAAGAAACCACGAAGCTGAGCAAGCGCGGGTGGTGTAGGCTAAATCCGACGAAGAGTCTATTCGCAGAGGATTTGGTCTCGATCTGCGAAAGGAGGCGCGCAAGCACGTTGCCTCCGACACCCGGCGCCCCAGGGGGAATTCGGGAGAGCGGGCCTTCTCGCCCCGGGCCCGGATCCTCTGGGTCCTCACCGACCGGCCTACTCTTTGACAGCTAGTTACTAATTATCCAAAGAGCCCAGTGGTTCTGGGAGATCGCACCTCGCTCTGGGGCCACAGGGGTTTAGGAAAGAACCGCTCGCTTGTCTCTCAATTCTTAAGCGCTGCGATTTGAAAGTTTCAGAGCCCAGGACTGAAGTCGCTCCCGGCCTGGCCACGCGCTCGCAGTGCCCTTTCGGGGTGGGATGTGACCTTGCTTTTGAATTTGCGCCCTGGGGACTCGGTGGCTTGCCCTCTAGACAACATAATCGGGGGCATTTCTAGCCCCCGCCCCTAAATGTTTTGCTATAATTCATAGACTTAAGGTTCTTCCCTCGCCATTTCCCTTTGTGGCGGCGTTAGATCCCGGGCAGGCTTAGGGGACAGCAAGATGTGGGTCGCCGAGGCGGGGAGGAGTCCGCAGAGGAGCCCCTCAGAATGGCTGGGACTCCAGGGCGGCGCGGAGGGTGACCCGGACCTGGGAACAGCCAGGATCCCGGCCGCGGGTCACCCAGGCCTCGGCCCTTCTGCCTGGCCCCCGGGGCCGCTGGCTAGGGCAGAACTCCTACGATCTGGGGCGCCCGAGCAGACCAGGGCGCCCCTCTGCACCCGGCCCAGCATCGCCCGGCGGGACACAGCAGAGATGTAACATAAACTGCAGCACGTGGAGTTGGGGTGTTATTAATTTATTTCTATAAATCATCAACAGAAAGATACACAAAGGGCCGTGATTAGGTTGAAAAGAGAGGCGGGTTATTCATTGGCGAAGTTGTAAACGCGGCTTAGAAAGGGAAGGAAATCAAAACGCAGACGCGGGGGTGCTCAACGCCGCTCTCGGGGCGCGCGCCCTGCACTGCAGGACGAGCCACGTCTCCACCCCCAGACCCTGCGCAGCCGAGGGCCCCCGCCGCCCTAACGGGGCTGCTCGAGCCCGGAGCAGCCAGAGGAGCCCCAGGGCCGCCGACACCCGCAGGCCCAGCAGGTGGAAAGCCAGGCCCAGCCTGGTTCGGGTGTCTTCGGACCTTAGCCCTCTCTCTCCCCAAAGCAGGGTGGGGAGGAGGATTAGGGAGGCCGAGACCCTCGCCAGAATTAGGTTCGCTGGACAGATCCTGAGGCTTTTCTCCCCTTGTCAAGTGGGTGCTGTCTTCGCTCCCCAACTCCGGGCTCGTCAGACTTTATTAAAGTAATTTTTCAAGAAATTGTCTGCGGTTCCCAGGTCACTGCACAATCGGTTTCAGAGCGCCAGGCACAAGCGCCCCTTACCTCCACCCACCTCCTTTTTTTTCTTGTCCAGCCTATTCCCCTAAGGCGGAAAGAAAAGAAAAGTCACTTTGGTGGAGCGCCCGGACGCCCTTTACACCTCCTAGAAGAGAAAGGCCAGGAAGGCAGGTTGGGGACTGTGTGCTGTGTGCTGCCGGGTCCTCTGCTCCCGGCGGAGCTCTCCACCAGACTGGCCGGAGGTGGCATTAGGAAAGTTGGTTGCTGCCTACGGCACCGGAGTTGTGGCTTCTCAGCGAAGGAGCCTACAGCTGTGCCGGGGTTTTTCCGCTCCGCTCGCGGGCAGCAGTCATTGTTTGCGAAGCAGCGTGCCTGGCGGACATTGCGGCGGCCAGGTCTGGCGTTTGACACCTGCGCTCCGAGCACAATGGCCATGCGCGTCTATCCGGGTTGGGAGCTCCTGAATGTGAGCTGTATTTAAAAACTAAAAGATATCTAAACCAGCTCTCGGGGCCTTTCCCAGAAAAGATACGGGAATTCTGGAGGCAGAGAGGTATAAAGGTGTAGTAACTACGCCATCTTACCCTGAACTCTAGTTCTTTTAATTCGGACTTGAAGGTTTTGCCTTGTTTATAAGATTTTTGTGGACTTTTTACAAATTGAAACCGGCCTGATTGTTGAACTGATTCACTTTTTTCACCGAGCTGTTTGCACTTAGAACATTGCACTATTTTCCTAGGTTTCTTAGGCGCACAAAATGAACACAGGTAAAGAAATTTCAACAAAAGACAAATGGCCAAAGAAACTGTTCAAGCAATACAGTATTAACTTCTAAAATCCAAATACTTTTTCCTAACTTTTGAAGCAACTGTTCGTATCTGTTGAAAGTGTGTTCCACCCTGAAAGTATCTTGGGAAATATTGGCCAGAAATAAACTTTCACATGATCTCTGATGTTTACATGAATATGTCTAAAATGTTTATTACCTTATTTTTCTCTTGCTCAAGGTGAATTCATGTTTAAAACAGGAATGCATTTTCTCTGTTTTTGTTCTTGTTGTTACTTCATTATGTTGTATTACTTGGAAGTACTTTTATAAATACTTGAGAAATTCGTTATTAACTTATATGTAATTAATCTAGAATTTGCATTTCTCAGAAACATCTCTTTCAAAGCCCGAGTTCTTATAAATTTAATATCAAAAGCTTTCTAAAAATAATCAGAACCATTCAAATGCTCATAAAATGTCTGTTTAATTATTAGAAGTTGAGTTCACTAAACCAAATTTTATTTGACATAGACACTATTTAGAAATAAATGTTACACTGCAACATTTTATCTATTTAGGATCTCTGCTTTAACATCATTTTTATTGTTTCATCTGAAACAAATTTTCCCTTCATTTTTACGACCTATCAAATATATATATATTATATATAAATGCACAGTAAAGAGATGGTGTTTATAAATTTAAAATGTACAATATTTGTGAAAGTATTGTTTCTTTGATACTTTTACCCTATACTATGTCTTATTTTCTTAATTTAAATGACATTTCTCATTTTGTCACCTATTTACTAAGCAAGAAATGATATTAGCAAAGTTGAGAAAATTTTAAATAAATATCAAAGGCACTAATACAAAGTTTTTTGCATGCCTGTGTTTATAAGAAATGAAGTCTGACCACGTTCTTAGCCCAAACTTAAAATTTATGAGACAGTTACCTTCCAGATTCGCTTGCCATATCCGAGGAGGAATGTACGAAGAATACAGTAAAACAAGGCATTTGAGATTGTTAATGTCTTACTGCAAAACTGAAATCATTTATCTTCCTTAAATTTTATTTGGGAGGCGGAGGTGTGGATTTTTTTTTTTTTTAACTTTACCTTCCTTGCAGGTGGTATGATTCTTTGATCCCAGGGAGGAATGTCATTGTATTTGAAAACTTTTGTAAACTCTACAAGGGATTTAATATTTAGCTATTAAGTCCTCCTTGCTTTTCAGGAAACAAGACACATATTTCACCCTTGTTTTATAAGAGACTGATTCAATAGTTCAGAAAGAAAATAATGTAAGAGAAGCTTAGACTGAAATGCAGTAAAGTCAGCAACGGAGGCTGCCTCCGTCTTTGTAAGATCTGTCCACCTGGTCTCAAGCTCAGCTCTACTCTCCAGTGGGTCTGGCCTCTTAAATATCTCGAATTCCAGGAAAATGAAGGAAAGCAAAACAAAACAAGAGCTTTTTCCTCCCCTGCTTAATGAGAGTGTGTGAGTGGTCTTTGCTCATTTCTGAAGATGAACAGTCGTCTTCTCTTTCCTGCTGATTTTGGAAGAAAGGGAAAGTGCATTGTGCAGGGGTTTCAGCTCTTCTACTTAGGTGGTTTCTTTGCGGTGGGGGGGCATTGTTTGGTTTTGGTTTGTTTTTTTTTTTTTTAGAGTTTTTTTTTTTTTTCTTCGTTCCTCTCCCAAGGTTGTAATTTGGACAGGTAGAGAAATACATGGAAGTTGGTTTTGCAGAGTATAGGTAGAACCACTAGCAAGAAACTATTTCTCCCTAGACGTCTTCCACCAGCACTCTAACCATTTGCTTATCTGTCTAGTGAGGATCCATGGAGGGCTGCCAAAATGATCAAGGGCTACATGCAACAGCACAACATCCCCCAGAGGGAAGTGGTGGATGTCACAGGCCTGAACCAGTCACACCTCTCCCAGCATCTCAACAAGGGCACCCCTATGAAGACCCAGAAGCGCGCCGCCCTGTACACCTGGTACGTCAGAAAGCAGCGGGAGATCCTCCGACGTAAGTGCTTGCATCCTGCCTCTGCTCCAACTTGAAAAGATCTCTGCCCTCACTCTGACCCTTGTGGGCTGCCTCTGTTTCCCCTTGATCAACAAGGCCTTTATGAGCACTTGGCAGGTGGATTTGGCCTTCGTAGTTAGTTGCCACACGTAGACTGGCTTGTGTCATTTTCTCCCTCCACAGCCCCTTGTTACCCAGCCAGATGCTTTCAAGCCCTTCAGTGTGCAATGTACCTTGAATTTTTTGGTCCTTCTTCCCAACATCCTTTTCTCTGAAACTCAGTAGATAACAGAATAGAATATCTTCCATAATGTAAACCAAGCATCTCCCCTTAATATATGACCAGAAGCCAGAGTTTCCAAAGAAGACATTTTATGGCAGTCAAGAATATTGCTGTTATTTTCCTACCCTCTGAAATAGGAATTAAAAATGAAGGCATTTGTATAGATAGGGACATTTAGAATCCAACCCTGCGCTTTGACAGGGGATCAGGTGGCACCAAGTCCAGAATCAATTTAAAGTTCTTACTCACATTTGCCAAGAGGAGTAGAGTTGGGGACCTCAGCTGATGATCCTGTTCAATAAAGAAGCCACTTCTGGCTGAGGCAAGAGACAGTAAAAGTATCTGCCTTTGAAACTCTGACCCATCAGTTCTTGTCATTCCTTGTGCCATCCCAAAGATTTCGTCCTTTTCCAAGAGTTCTTCCACCCAGTAATACTGAAAGACTTTTGTTTTGATTTTTTTGGGTTTTTTTGTTTTTGTTTTTGTTTTTTTTTTCCGGTACCGGGAATTGAACTCACGACCTTGCACTTGCCAGGCAGGCGCTGTGCCGCTGAGCTAAATCCCCAGCCCCTGTTTTGATTGTTTACTCTTCAGTTGGAAGCATTACATGGATAGATTAGATGAAGCAAAGTGACAACTGTTTGCTGCTTAGAGGAGAAGCCCCTTTGCAGTATGGATTGACTCCAGCCTTGGCAATTAGTTCTTTAAGAATTTGTGTTCCTGACATGAAGCAACTCTCTAGTTCCTGAAATTCTCAGGAGCTACAGTCTCCAAAGGCCAGAGAACTCTTGGGACTCACCCAACCTCCCAGCTTGTACTGCATTTGTGTATCCCCTGAGATACCACCGAAAAGAGGGAAGGGAAGGCAGGGAAAGTCAGCTGGAATTTCTGTAAAGGCAGAAGTCCCAGGAAGATGGTCAGAATGCTTGAGAGAGAACGGTTTACAAAAGCTGATGGGTGGTAGAAGCTGCTCATAACAATTGTTGTTGTTATTGATGTAAAGCCACGTGAGGCATAAAGCTTAAGAAACATTCCTTTCTTTTGTAAATATCATGTGTATACCTATTATGTGGCAAACAACATGCTAAGCTGTGGGGTGCACAGGTCCTTTTCTGCAGGGACTTCCACTTGCTGAAGAGCTTAGATGTTTGGGTAAATAATGACCATTGCTTTCCAAGAGCTGTTATAAAGATACACAGAAGGAGCAGCGGAGAAATTGCTAAATCACTTAGACACCTCTTGGAAGGCTTCCTATATGAGGTGACATTTAGCCCAGTTTTGAAGAATGAATATGAGTCATACCAGCATGGAATAAAAATTAGGAAGGGAGATAAATAAAGCAGAAACAAGTGAGTGGGATGAGTGGAAGGAGAAGGGGAGAGAATAAAAAAAGATGATACATGATTACAAAATTTCATGAAAAACTGAAACAAATAAATGGTAGTATTCATGGGCCTGTCTGTACATACAACCTGCTTGTCTAAGCCAGCTCCCAACCCTAGAAAGAGGCTGCTGAAGACAGCTTCTCCCAGGTAACTTTTATGAGTAATGAACATTTTCTGCCCCATTTCCAACCCTGGTTAATCCAAAAGGAAGTGGAGGATATGTGAGAGTTTAGTTTATCAAACACTGAGAGAGCCAAGAGCTGAGCCCCTAAGGTCAGTAGGTCCCGGATGCTTGCTTCTGAGTACCTTCAGGCAATCCCCTGGCTGATCCAGGCATACACTGGCTTCTACAGACCTGACAGGCTGCTGCCTCCCCAAAGGGCAAGTGAGACACTAGGATGGTTGCAACCCTGCGGGATGGCTGTGTGTTTCACACCCACCACAGACAAAGCTTCAGGGATGAGGTTTGTTACCACCACAGAAATCAGATTTGGGGAGTTTAGGGGTGTATTGTTTGTTTTTGTTGTTGTTGTTGATTTGGGGTTTTTTCCAGAGAGGATTCAGAAGCTGGTAGTTAGGAGCCTTAGAGTCTACAGGCTGAGTTCACACTCTAGCTCCTGCCCCAAGCCTGTGTGACTTTGAGCAAGTTACATAACCTCTCTGCGCTTCAGTTTCTTCCCCTGTAAAACAGATATAATAATACCTTTCACACACAGAGGCTGTGAGAGTTGTATGAAGGAATTCATTTAGAGGATGCTGCACAAAACCTCACCATAGTAATGGCTCATTAGAGGTTGACTGTTATGACATCTGTTTGCCCAAAGGAAAAATTCAAATTGATTGCAGGTCCTTGGTTTGAATGCTCATGGGCAACTCTGTAGGTAACATGTAGGGCCCACAGGGGAGACAGAAGACACTGAGCAGGGAGCTTCTTTCTCCCCTTTGATTGTCCCTCAAGTAACTGCACATAGAGAGCTGCTCTGCAGACCAAATAATGTAGGAGGTGTGCAGGCATGGCCACCAGAGGAATCTGGGTCATCATCAACATCATCGTCCTGACTAAGGGTTAATGTTTTTAAAAACTGTTTAGCGCCCCCTATCTCATTCCACAGGAAGGGAAACTGAGTGATCAAGGAGTTAAACAATTTGTCTGGGGCCCCTCGTTTTCCCAAAGAGTCAGTGATTTCCTGCTCATCAGTTTAGCAGAGACTATTTCAAGTCTCCAAGCCCCTCAGGTGGCCTGAGAATCACCCAAAGTGAGTGAGGCCCAAACAAAAGGTTGTAGTGAGAAGAAGCACACTCCATCAGCCAGGAAGACTGCTCATTAACTTGGCCAATTAGCCACTGGTTAAACAAAGTCCAGCCGTCCCTGTATCTGGGATCCTACATCCAGGCTGGTTAGGAGCCCACTGCTTCCTCCTGATGCAGCCAAAGTGGATATAGGTCCTTAGATAAGTGAGAATTTATTATGTGTCAGGGTGCTTGGCCTATGTTTATTCATCTGTAAAATGGAACCAATCACCCCTAATGAACCCTGCGTCATGCAGTTGTGAGGAAGTGGACAACAAAGCTCTCTTTTTTAAACTAAGTGAATGTACAATTTATTTAAACCAAGCACTTCTTGGCCTTTTGGCTAAGATCAAGTGTAATTTATTTAAACTATATAGGCTAAGAGATCACCACTGGGCCCAGGTGCCATCTTTCATTCATTCATTTGACAAAAATGGATTGAAGGATCCTGGAGAGTGGACAGACGGGGAACATCATTCCATCTACATGTACCACCCTCCAACTCATCCAGTGCCATTCCTAACATGGCCCTCTGTCTCAGTGTCTGCCCTAGTCACCCTCTAGTTTGTGGGTGACCTATAAGACTTCCTGCATGGGCTTTCTCCCTCATAAATGGACCCTTGTACACGTCCACATACAGACCCATACCATTACCTTTGAAATTATATTTGAGGTCTAAAGAGCATCTTCTCTTTCTAATACAAAGCTTCAAATATATTTATTTCAAAGCATTGTTTGAAATGTTTTGGGCTTTGTATTTTTCTGAGAACCTAGCATTAGAATGCAGATGTTTAGTATGTATGAGCAGAAAGGAAGGGTGGGGACAGCTATGTACAGTCAAGCTCTGAATATGTTGTGTAAGAGTAAATTGCACCCTAGAAGTGTTTCTCTTGGCCTGAGACTTGGTGGAATTCATTCCCTTGTCATTAAAATACAAGTGTTCAGAATTGAGAGTGTTGCTTCATGTCTGAGGACCAGTGACCCAAGAAAAAATATTAATTTCCTCAACACGGTGCCTGGCTACATTTAAGTTCCTTGGAAGAAAGGAAGAGGGTGACTTTGCTGGAGCACTGAGGTGTGCCACGAGGAGCCTGTCATGAGGCCTCTCCACTCTGGCTTCACACACAACCATGGCAGATTACAAAGCTTAGGGGAGAGGAATCAAGGGGTCTTTGTCCGTCTGTTTATCTGTCTGTCTGTCTGCCAAGTGAAGGCTACAGGCCCTATCAAATCTACCCCTTTCTCTTTTCAGAGTTCAACCAGACAGTCCAGAGTTCTGGAAATATGACAGACAAAAGCAGTCAGGATCAGCTGCTGTTTCTCTTTCCAGAGTTCAATCAACAGAGCCAGGGGCCTGGGCAGTCCGATGATGCCTGCTCTGAGCCCACCAACAAGAAGATGCGCCGCAACCGGTTCAAATGGGGGCCCGCATCCCAGCAAATCTTGTACCAGGCCTACGACCGGCAAAAGAACCCCAGCAAGGAAGAGAGGGAGGCCTTAGTGGAGGAGTGCAACAGGTAACAGCACCAGCAGCTTGCTCGAGCAGGCAGGCAAACACGTGGACCCAAGATCCACCCCCTCAGTCCTGGGAAGTTGAAATACTGGTTATCCAGATAAGTGTGGCTAAATTGGAACGTTTCCAAAGCATTTTGCTCAGAACCCCAGTCTCAATGTATTGATAAATAACTTTGACAAACATCATATGGCTACTTCTTCGAGAGTTGCAACACACAGTAATATATTACCAACTATGAGAAGTCCTACAGTCAAGAAACTTGCATAGCTTTAGTGGTTGTTAACCATGGACTCTTTCCTCTTTGGAATACTTGCTAACATCCCCATAAATTATTATTCTAGGGAAGACACTCTGGAGAATACTGGTATAAACTATGATGACCGGCAAAACCAATATCATGTCATTGGTCTCCATACAGGGCCAGGCAAAATCATTTTGTAGCCACAGATTCTGGGTCTGGCCTCCACCAGTTTGCCCACCCATTAGTCCAAAAGGAAACTATAGGGAAGTAAGAATTAGTTGGATCTGTTCAATCCATTTGGTCCATATCATTTCAGTAGAGTTGTTTTTATGTCTTAATAACTGTATGTCATTATAAAGAAAGGGAACTACTGGAAATCCTCAGGAGAACTTTTTGTGTTACTCCGGTCTGGTCCTCCCTGACTCCAGTATTGACTTTCTAACAGACCCGCTCTTTACTGTGGCTGAAGCCTATGGGCCTCTTTATATGTCTCTGGAATGGCTTTGGCAGTGCACGGATGTGGTGAAGGAGGCCAGGCTGAGAGGCAAATCCATCTGCCTGTGCAGGCACAGGGTTCTCAGGCTGTGCCCTGTCTCCTGATAATGAGAATTCCTCTCCAGCATCCAGTGATGTCTCAGGATATATTTCACACCCAAGTGTGTGGTTTCATCAACTCTATTAAAACGAGAGACAAAGCATTTGGGGTTGCCTTCTTTTATGTCCCACTAAGCCTGTCCTTGACAGGGAGCTCCTGGGTCTGAAAAAGGAATCTGGTTCGGAAGCCACAAGATGTAGCCAGCAAAAGAGTTGGCCTTTTGTGCGGTGAGAAGTTTGGCAAAATAAGGAGGTGTCAGGATGCCCAGTTGTTTGGACTGTCGCCCTGAACTGCCTATACCTGGCTGCTCTCTTCTGATCAGAAGCCACACCAGAGGGCTGTCCTTGGCCTTGCAGGGCAGCATAGTTTGCTCTGTGCCTATGCTGAATGCTCCCACCAATCATCTTCATCAGATAATTACATAGACTGGTTTTTTCTCAAATGAGGCCTTCCTCTAGCCCACTACTCAACTTGTAACTTCTGTACAATTCCTAACCAAGACTACTATGACTGTATTTGGGGCCAACCACAAGCAAATCTCCCAGCCATCCTCACTCATCAGCTCTCCTCTGTCTATTTCAGGGCAGAATGTTTGCAGCGAGGTGTTTCCCCCTCCAAAGCCCATGGGCTGGGCTCCAACTTGGTCACTGAGGTCCGTGTCTACAATTGGTTTGCAAACCGTAGGAAGGAGGAGGCGTTCCGGCAGAAGCTGGCCATGGACGCCTATAGCTCCAATCAGACGCACAGCCTGAACCCCCTGCTGGGCCATGGCTCTCCCCACCACCAGCCCAGTGCCTCACCTCCAAATAAGCTGTCAGGTAAGCAGCGTCTGGGTCTCACTGCCTCAGACCTGACTATTCTTGTTTTCCCCACTGGTCTCATTTGGTCCAAGATTTTTCAGAAGAGCAACAGCTTTGGAATGGCGCTTGGGTTAGTCTCCTGTGGCCAGAACATTTTCATGTGGCTCTGATCAAGTTTCCTCCAATTCCTTGTTCCATTGGATGTAAGGGATAGCTGAGCCCTAAGGGAGCCTTTTGTTGTAGTCTCTAACCTTGCCCTTCCGGTCAGCTTATCCACCAAGAAACTGCCTTGCCCAAGCTGCAGGCAGAGGGGTGCAGGCATGGTGGTGAGAAACAGCACCCTGGCCACCCTCTACCATCCTTGGGCATGTCCTACCCCAGTGCTCTCTTCAGTTCCAGTAAAAGTCCAGTGGCTTTAGAGAAGAGCCATTCTAGTGGCCTTGTGCTTGTTGGCTTCTGTGTTCCATCATGGCGAGGATAGCGTTGGTTACTTGGTTGCATGAAACTTTTGTAATGATTAGTTGCCCAAAACTGATTGAGTTCTTACTGTGTTTCAAGCCCTGGCCTGGAGCAGAATGTCTCTACTGTGGGGTTTAGGTCCGTCAGGCTGGAATCCTACATTCTCATTGTGAGAAATCACCCCATGTGCTGAGTGCTGTGTTTCTATAGGCTGGTCGGGTACTTCTGCAGTCTACTTCCTCCATGAAAATAGTTTCCGGAACTGGTGTGCTTATTGGGGTGCGTTTGGTGCCCATTTGAACGAAGCATGGCACAGTCTCCTATTCTGGGGAAAGGATTACAGAGGAAAGCTAACCAGTGTTTATAATTCTGGGGTGGTTCTGAAATCTGTCCTCCTTGCCTATTTTGTTGCCCTTCTGATGGGAAAGGCCTGAGAACTGGGAGCTGATCCAAGTGTTGAGGTGACCCGTGTCACCAGGACAAGCTCAGAGCCAACAGTGGGGAAATATACAAGGGTTTGTTCTAAGCCTGCTGTGCCCGTAGTATGGCCTCTCCTGTGGTGTCTGGGAACCTGATAGTGCCCAGCATAAAGCCTGGACCTGGCCCGTAGTTTCTGTGAGTTCTGTTCCCATAGAAAGGAAAGGCTCAGCCATGTGGGAAGAAAATTTGGGTGATTCTTGAAAGGCAGAGAAACCCCTGGGCCAGTGCTGGCCTGATCTCAGAGTAACTGTGTCCCTTTGTGGTAATTCAAAGCAGAGTTCAGAGGACAGTGGTAGATGGCGTGTGGCCAGCACTGAGCAAGACTGGAGTACTTGCCCACCGTAGCTATCCTCAGAGCTGAGCTGGGAGCTACAGGGGGTGTGGCTGGGGCAAGGGGCATTGTTGAGAAGACAATAGCCATTGTACTGGGACCTGTGATCTCCACACCAAAGTCAGGGAGCCTGCAAGCTAAACAAAGGCCCAGCAGCTTTCTGACAAGCTGAGGTTGTGCTAAGGTCACCACAGGGTCGTTAGCTTCAGCCTTCTGTCTCCCGGAATATAGAAAGCTAGGTCTGGAGTGTCAGGGACAGGTACTGAAAATAAGGCAGAGATGGAGGCTAAGAAACAGCCTGGATATGGCTCACATGGGACTCTGAGGACGCATCTCACTGGAAATGGACTCTCTGAGGGTGCTCCCAGAAGTCTGGACTTTAAAAACAAAGTCATGGAATGATAGAACCAGAGGGAGTGATTTGGCAAAGCTACACAGAGCAACGGCAGCAGACAAGGACCAGAGCTCAGGTCTGCTGATGCTGGCGCCATACTTTCCCGCAATGTAAGCACACATTGAGTGCTTAGCAAATCCTGGAAATGCACCGGGAGCACACAGCCCTGCCCCCTCAGAGCTCACTGTGTAATAAAGAAGACACTGCACCAGCGTGGAGTCCCTAGAATCAGCTGGGAATCAAGTTTATCTTTGGAGGCTTAGTGGCTCTCCAGGGAGGAAAGGATCCTGCTGCTATTTCCAGAGCAGCACTTAGGGGGTGCTGTGTATGTGGGCAGTGGCTGCTTCCCCTCTGCCTTAATTTTCACTTAGGGCTATCAAGGCAATCCTTGTCCCAAGCCAAGGAATATAATTCCCTGCATGTCATTTTCCATCTTCGTTTAGACCAACAGGGGATCCGTATGGCTGATTCACATAACTCCCCCGAGTTTCTTGTCTGTAAAGTGGAAAAATAGTACCTGCCTCATAGGGTGCATGTGAGAGTTAAACTGGTGAATGGTAATCATTACCTTTCCCTACAAACCGCACTGTTACTGTCATCACCGCTAGCAGTATCACAGAGGCCTACGCCAACAGCAATGGAAAGAATGACAGGCAGCAAAAATGTATTTTCTTTGTAATTTTCACATCCTGGGGCATTGTTCCTAGGAGGCCATGAGACGTATTGTGACCCTGAGACTGTGCTGGAGTCTGGGGTGCACGATGCTAGGATCAGAGCCCTCTGTCCGTGTTACAGGTTGCTGTCATGGTGCATGCGCTGTGATAGGACTCCAGCGTAATGTACCCGGGGCCAGGGAGTCGGCAGGCTGGAACTCAGCACTCAGGGAAGGCTTTGGTCTCAACAGCTTCACAGTCACTTTCCAGTATGCTGCCACAGCCATGTGGCCTCTATCCAAGCCCCAAACACAACGGAATGGAGAATACATGTTCTGAGCTTCCTGTTGCTGAGGAGAAACCAACATCCCGAGTCAGCACTAGCAGCCTCTGAGGTGGAGCTGGGGAAAAACAGAGCCCTAATCCTGTACCCCCACTCTCCAGCTGTTCTCCTCTCCCAACCCCAGCACCTGAGCCAGGAGGGCTGGCGGCACCTGGAGACGAATTTTCCTAGAGAGGAAAAGCACCTTTTCTATAACTGAGCCCCTTCCTTCCCAGCCACGCTCACTGTGTTGTGGCCCACTTGCCCACGATGACCACAGTGTGACCCTGGTCCTGGAATGTCCAGCACAATAGGGGTGGCAGGAGGAGCACTTTGCCTCTGTCAGTGGCTGATTGGTTACAAGGTGCCCTACAAACACATTGTCAGCAGAATCAGCTGTTTTCGGCGTTGCCCCTCCTCAGCTTTACAATCGCACACCAGCATGCAGCCAGGGGTTGTCATGGCTTTGTCTCCCTTATGCATGCTTAATTGACAATTAAGTTGGGGCTTTGAACCAGCCTGGCTGCCGCTGATGGGCCTTCATCTTTCCAGTGAGTGTCACAGGGGCACTCTTTGTCTGTTCTTCTTGGGGGCCTGAAGTTACTGTAGCAGGCTGTAGGCAGCCATTTATCTTCAACCTGCAAGGCCTTTATCTGCCCCCCTCCCCATCCCAGCTCTCGCCAGCAGGAGCTGTCCCTGGTTATAGGCCTCGTGACAGCCCCTTCGGAGGCCATTGAGCAGGTCCGGAGTGATGGCCTCTACCTCCATTCTGGAGCTGACTCAAGGGAGAGGCCCCCAAAAGGTCAGAGGGCAGGGCTGCGGCAAGAAAAAGGACTGGTTGGAGACTGGTGCTCGTATTGATTGGCTGGAGGAGAAGAGGAAGTTGGCATGGGATGGAAGCAGGGCCGGTCTTCACCCAAGCCGTGGTATCTGGGGTGACCTTGTTCACTATATACTTTGCTCCAGTCCCCAACTAAGTCACCTGACCACTGCTCCAGGAAGAAAAGGAGGGATGAAAAGATTTCATCAGTCTTCACCCTCCCCACTTCTGCATCACCTTTGGGAAGGAAGTGTAGACTTAAAAACTTTCCCGGAAAGAGAGACATAGGAAAGAGAAAGCATCTCTCCACAGCCTGGATTCTGAGATCTTTGGGATCCTGAGCCGCAGCCTTTTTCCCCAAGAAGGGACACTGTTTCTGTGGCTATTCTTCTCCACCCCTTTGAACTCTATTCCTCCCTTTCCCAGCCTAGCAAGCTTGACTTCTCTAACATGAGAGCAGAACTTGAAAAACAGAGGATCCTGCCTCCTGCTTTTTCCTCACCCTCCTTCCCCAGTGGATGCAGAAATCTAATCCCAGGTCTTAGACAAACCAGACTCTTGGCCGGAGACCTGTGTGAACACTGTTGTTCTCCTTGGCATGGAAATCTGTGGGACCAAAGGAAACCTGGAAAGTGCCCAATGGCAAGAGAGTGACTAACAGTGAAGAATTACAACAGCTGGCATTGACTGAGCACTTCCTGGGTACAGGCCCTGGCTGAACACCTAAAGGCATCCTCTCACTTAACCTCTGTGACACCCTAGGGAGGGTGGAAACCACTGTACTGGTGTCTTCCTTTTACAATCAGAGGAAGGGAGATGTTTCAAAAGTGAGTAACTTGCCCAAGTTCATAGAGTGTGTAAGCCATGGAGACAGGTTTTGAGCTGTTACACACTGTCCATCTCTCTTGGCTCTATGTATATGCTAAAAACTTTTCAGGCCTGAAAACTTGCATGCGAGCACACACACACCGCAGTACTTTGCAGTCCCTTTCTCTCCCACACTCCTGCAGCTGCCCTCTCAATGGCGGAGGCTTTGGGAAAGGGTGGCCAAGGAGGTGGAGTAAGGCTGGGGAGTTGACTGTTTCCTCCTCACCCACTGCCCCTGACCAAGGTGGATTCTGCGGGGAGAAATCAAAGCCCCCTCTTCCACAACCCTTCATCATCTGTGCCTGTGGGGGATTTGAACTGCCCTTGCATTGGGCCCTGTCTGGGGCACTAAATACCTTAACAACTTAATGGGGCCTCTGAGACAGTTCAGGCACCTCAGCTCACCCCTAGGAGCTCTGCCCCCTCCTTTCAGCAGACAAGGGGAAGGAGTTTATGAGGGCAATTGTAAAAATATTCATCTCAACAGCAAAGGCCCCCAGAGTAAGTGAGCCCCATTGTCCCTAAGTAGCAGATTATTTCAGTTCTGAAGAGAACTAAATGCTGCTTTGGAACATCTGCTGCTGTAGGAACAAGGTTTGTACTGACTGGGGGTCCCATGACAGACATGGCTCCAATATCCTCCTTCTTAGGGACCTTATCTGTCTGTCATTTTATCTCTTGAATTTAAAGGT